TGTTGATTGTTACATCAGACACGAAATAGGTTGAAATAACCAGACATCGACAGAACATTTTATTATCATCATCATCATCATCATCAACAACAACAACATTAACAGCATTGGATACTGGCTCAGTGGTCTAGAGGTTAAGCGTTCATGCGCAAGACCGATAGGTCTTGGGTTCGAATCCAGAGGGGCGGGGTCGTGCATACGCACTGCTGAAGAAATCTACAATAGGAAGAAACGGCCATCCAGGGTTTCCAGGTTTTCCATGGTGGTCTAGCTTCAATTAACTCATGAATTCAATAATTAAAAGTCAAATGAGTTAATAAAATGTTACATATTTGTCACCAATATTTCTTTATGAATTAACAGGTGGATAAAGCTGTTATCAGAAAACCCAGTATTTTTTATTAACTAGCCTAATTAAAATTTAGATTAGTGGTTTGGTTACAGATTGATTGGTATAAGTTTACGAGCTCTAACAATTAGACGATACCAGTTAGATCTTGCATTCTAGTCTTTCAGAAGGTCATTCCATTTTAGTTTTTATTCGATAATATTACAATGTCATATTAAAATATTCCATAAATACAAGTGACTTTTAAGGAGTCATTTGTGTTTTCTTTTAGTATTAAATTAGAAATTGGTTGAATTTTAAAAGGTACTGGCATTAAAAATATTTAATTAGTTGGATGACATTAAAATTACAACTTCAGAAAAGAGGGAAATGAAGTTACCATCAGTTTTCTTGCTTGCTAAACTGTTACGTTCTCTGCTTGATTATGACACAGTAGAGTATACAACTAACCGCGCTCGAACATATAGAACTCCACAGTCGCATATGAAAACACGGAAGAGGCAGGGGAAACGATTATTGGGTAAGAATTAGAGATGCATATAAAAACAGGAGTATTTGTGATTTTTAGTCTTGGCTATAACATTATTATAATCCAACCAATCCGCACGGAGGAAAGTTATGCAAATGTTCAATCATAACATGCCACATTAACTTTCTAGAGGGTTCTATCAGGTACTGATTAGACGGAGTCTCTTAGACTCCTTTAGAGCCTTTGAAGGCTTCGCCGTGCTTTTCGGAGCCATCTTAACGAAAACATCAAAAAATTTAGTACTTTCTGAAATTCGACAAAAATTATAACGAATAGAATAATCGATGAAATGTTGACGAAATATGATGATCTATGTCATAACATAACGTATAAAAGAAATTATTTTGTCACATCATATTGACCATTTAAGGAAGATAGTAAAGAATGCTTTAGCTTTACAATTTTGGAATTTTCAGAATTTCATTACATCACGATTAACACGTTTGATTGAAGCCACTGAAAGGAACACACACACACACTCTTAAATGGTTACATAATCTTAAAACGATGACTTACGTAATACGCACTAGAAGATTTTTGACTGCACGATTCATAAATTATTATTGATCGGTTAGATGAAGGAAGAACAGAAGGATTCATTTACATTTTTAAGTTTCTGTATTGAGAAATTTGTTATTAGAAATTTTAATCATTTGCACTTTCGATTTAGTCTTTATCCAAAGAGTGACTAATTGCTGGGAAGAAAATTCACTACTGTATTGACAGGAAAGAGTAAGTTGATCATATCATAGTTATATTCTTAGTTATCAACTACATATGAAAATGAATGAATTCATGCTTCAATTATTCTATTACATGAACCAATCGGAAATATATATGGACATTTTTGAATACTTAACCTTCTTTAATTCAAGCTTTCGTAGTAAAGAAAAGTTTTTTGTCAGTTTAGATAATATCTCTGGTGCAACTATACAAGGAGGTGGTTGATGTAGATGTAAATGTATAAAGTTATTAATAATAACAAAAAAAACGCTTTAACCAACTAAATGCTTAATATCGTAAACCAAACTAAATCTCAAAGTGCTTGATGAAATGTTATTTATTAACAGCGTTTCCCTAATTTCCAGATATGTTCAGCATTGAAACAATGAATTATAAGGAACTTACGCTATGAATAAACTACTCTTAGATACAATGGAAATATGTGTTTTAAAATCATTACCAAAGGGAACATCACCTATTAGTGTTTGATATGGACAGCGTTAATATTGTATATAAACGGGTATACAAATAACATAATGAATTTACTTAAAAGCAGTTTTATCAGAGGTTCCTTATGTCTGCCAAGAATAGAATTTTATCTATTACTTATACTTTTCTTACTTGCAAGTTATTTGGGAAGTTGTAACACTTTCACTTAGTAAATTAGTAATTTTATTGCCTGCATATTCTATGTTCTCAGTAAGTTTTGCTGTAAAATGTAGCTATGATAATTCGGTAGACTGATGGATGAGCCTTTCTGTTATTTAGAGCTATAGTAATTTATTGAAAATATTAGTATTGTAGAACACAGCTAAATGGGTTGTAGCTAATGGTTTTAACTATGAATGGCTTTTAAAACGTATCATCCATAAGCATCTATGAAAGTAATTAATCTTACTAAGGATGGCCAATTTGCTGATAGCACAACGATCATAATAATTTTTATGATTGATAACATAGGGAGGGGGTGGGAAATTATGAAATATATTTTGTACATCATCTAAGAAGTAAAGCGAATCACTTGAAAATATTATTCATTTATCATTATGGCCATGATTGTTATCTTCAACGGAAGATTAAATGTAAATTTGTTTCATTGTAATTACTCTTAAGAGCAAGTTTTTACTTCATTTAGTAAGTAAGGTGACATTAATCGTGTATCACGCAAGTACTAGAATAGCAGCAACAATCGTAACTGCCTTAATAGATTAGCAATGATTCCTATACAGAATAGATATTTTGTTGACTGAAATTCCACTGGAGGAAATTTAAATTACATCAAATAGTTATTAATAAGTATATGAGGGTTCTAGTTTAGTATTTGTAATAGACCTATTTTAGATTTAAGTTTATAAAGCATGAACAACAGAGTATTCTGTATACTTAGTAAATAACCGTTCATTAACTTAATAACCGATAAGAAAAATTAAAACTAGACAGTTGAAAGACCTAACGTGTGCAGGTATTTTTTAGACATTGGTTACTTTGTCTAGTATGACTTTACGGGAATTTAGTAACCGATAGGCCAAGCTAGACTATACACATAGTTTCTTTAGTAATATAAGCAGTCATATAGCGAATTAATTTCTTACTCACTATTCGAAAATCCTATCGGTGATACACCACTTGTTCGATTATTTTTAAATACGCGCCTAGTATTTACTGTTCATTTATATCAAGATAAAGTATCAAAGCCTTGAAGTGTAATTATGATTATATTTAAGAAGAACTGTAACGTAGTAAATGGTTTTCCTTCTTCATGAAAAACACTTATTTGAAGGGTATGAAGTTGTTTTAATACAAACATAGGTATAAATTAAATTTCTCTGCGGGTAGAAGTTACAGATTATTCATTACATTACATTGTTAGCAAGTATTTTAAATGACTTGGATCAAGAAACATCTTGTAAGTATTTGGCAGACTTTTTGAAATCAAACACTATAATTCATATTATAGATAGATAATAATGCAATTCTTCTTCCTTATAATCATTATCATTCTTTCCTATGTTCAGTTACAAATACACAGACACGTCAGATATTATTACATGTTTTAAAATTATCCATGTAGTAAAAAGTAATCATTTTCTTAACAAACCATTCAAATATCTTTTAAGGTTACAAAATCTCAAAGTTATATACATGTAAAGTGGAAAGAGATTGTTGAAAGGTGTATCTCCAAACACTACCTTTAAAAGAACATTGATATGCCATAACAGAAAATGGCAATAATTTGATCAGTTCACACTTATCGATAATGAAGTAATTGTCAACAGTTGTATTGAATGGTCGTCGAGCTATATCGGAAATCGATTGAACTTAGAATTGTTCAATTTTACGCCAATTCGGTTTTAATGTTTAAACATTCACCTCAATACCCAAGTACTCTGAACACTATGTCGATGACTGTTAAGCTTGAGCGATTTGATTTACACCACATGCTAGGTTCGCCAAACAGGATTTCCATTATAACTTTACAACTTCTTGTCTGTTATTCTGTCTATAATTAATCATCCTTAGACTTGACCAATGATATGATGTAATGAACCTCCTATTGGTCCGTCATTACCCATTATCTCTTTTCACAGCCTTGAGTTCAAAAGAAAAGACTGCAGTCAAACTCTTACTATTATATTTCATCTACCCACACACCCAGGCATTCATTAGCTTGTACAGATGACATTCCAAGAGTTGCACTTTCCATGATATTTGCTCTTCCAAAACACTGGGTTTTATCCTCGTAGGGTCCTGAGTACAGCATTATGAGGGGTAAAACATCCGTCCAGTGCCCTCTGGATTTCGACGGTATTCTAAATGAGATTGATTCACAAAGGATACTCAATACAGTCCTGTCATTTACTCTATAATGATATTTCTGAAAATAATCTCAAAAGTAATCGTTTAACCGCTGTTGAATATCCATCCGTATAAGTATTATCATATTTTTTTTCAAACTCAATCGTTAAGATTAATCTAATGAAACAACAAACTTTTAGGATTAATCTATTCTGTTGAAGAGTATAATGTGGATCAAATTTGCTCTTTGATAGCATATTTCGTTGAAAATGATAACAGAGAAAATGTTTATTGCACTATATCAATTTTTTCAGAAATATTCATGTTAATAAGAATCTTACTACAGAAGTACTTAATAGTGCGATCGCTGACATATAGTCAACCTAATTACAGAGGTTTATAGTGTACTAAATGATTATATTAATTCGTTTGATATCAGTCAAAGTCACCGTTTACAGAGTTATGTTCTTTGGTAAGTTTGATAGCCTTCCAATTTATGTGAAGCACACTAAACATGTGCTGTATTTATTTTGAACTACTCTTCACTTTCGTATTCAATTACTGCTTAGTTTAGTCTCTTGTATACATTTTTTCCACTTATAGCTGCATACTATGGGGATATAGCGTTGGATGAACACGAATCTCAGATGATGTTGTCAAAAGGCATGGCATTATCTGATGATCCATTACAAATATGGGATTTGGAAGATAATAAAGAAACGAACAATCGGAGAAATAAATATTCTAACATCCCTAATTCAAAACCATTGGATGATATTAAAATTGAAATGAGGTAGGTCTAGTTATTCTCATCACTGTATTTATTTGTTTGATGTATTACAAAAGGAGTTGGCATTTCATCCAAACATATAATAGGAACATGTAGGATTAGTCTTAAAATAAGCACACTGTTCTTTTCATAGAAAGACTACTATCAGGGTTTTTTTCAAGTTTAAACACAAATAGTTATGCTCTCTTAAAATGTTCTGACTTTGAACCTACCCTGGTAATTTTTAGTCTCATTTTCACTGTCTAAAGGTGTTATCAGAATGAAATTTATGCTTTTTGATATAAAATCTCTTATCGCTATTTGATAGTTCTTCGTTTTTGCCTAGAATGACCATTAAGTGAATGATCTGATTGTTAAATGTGGTGTATTTCAATTACATCAGTCTTTATATCCAAAGTATCTTTTTTTCTTGCAGTAACTAAAATCTATAGTACAAAACTGATCATATTAAACATATTAATGAGACAATGAATTAAATACAATAGTAACAAAGCAACTGTTGCTCAATTCACATTTTGTCTATCAGCAAATATGCATATTTAAACTATTCATCAGAAAACAGTTTAACTGTAGGAACTGTTGCAAATGAGTTCATAGAACAAAATGTCACTGCTTTACAATAATAATTTTCATGCTTGAAAGAAAATGATAATATAACTGGGGAAAAATAAATTTAACCAGTTTAACAATAACTTAGTATCGAAAATACCAGATTACCAACTATTTAGTCTTAAATTTGACTTCTATTTATTTCAATCAACCTAATATGTGTAGCCCATAAACACACATACGATCTGACATAAATCCCTGTTCAGAACTCAGTAATTAAGTTTAGATGTTTTTTTTCATGTCTTAATTGATGTAAAATGCTTCAATAAAAAAGTGGAAAATATTATGTGATCAAAACTGTTTTCAAGTATTAAAAAATTATTAGAATGGGGATTTGTAGAGATTGTCGCAATTTTAATAGTTGAGTTCATGAGCCCATTTTGTCCTAGTGTATGACTCCTCAGTGGTGTGCATCCGCGATGAATTCAACTATTAAAATTGATACAATCTCTACAACACCTCATCTTGATAACAGTCATGTGCTTACTAGTGACTAGCTTCAAGATGAATTTCCTAGAGTTCTAGTGAGAAGCGGTGACCAGTAAAGTCTAATCGGTGTCGGGTGGAGACAATTATTTACCGCACACAATGAATGAAGGGTTGCGCAAGATCATGGGTTGATTGTAGTTAGACATTAACACCGTTGGATACCGGCTCAGTGGTCTAAAGATTAGGCGTTCACGCGCAAGACCGATAGGTCCTGGGTTCGTGGATGTGCACTGCTGAGAACTCCCGTACTAGGACAAAACGGCCGTCCAGCACTTCCGGTGGTCTAACTTAGATCGACTCATGAATTCAACTAATAACATTAAAAATTACTCAAAACATTTGATAATTTATTGATACATAGTTCTCATTTAAACATTTAAACCAAGGATTTCAGCTTTGGGGTCTCTTTTTAATGAATTTATTATCAAGCTGTACAATCATATGTTTGTATAAAAATGGCATAATTTGAATCGCTTGACTACCAAAAGTTTATGGATTATACCGTTGTCTAAATGAGACTTAACGTTATTTTGAAAGTATATTCACATAACTAACAGGGTTACTATGTGTACTATTTCTATGTATGTAATGCATAAAAGAGCAGGGTGATAAAAACCATTGTACGTATATTATCACATAAATCTGAGGTTTAATCATTCCCTCATTATTTTTCCATAATTATCATTTGGCTGTTACAAAATCTAATTATTCCGTTCTTTATATCCACGAAGCGAATAGTTACATGTGTTCTATAAAGTGTCATTATCTCGATAATGTTTCATACGGCATTAGGTCATTGCATAACTTCTTTTCTATATCTAGTTATTTCAAACAATTGATTAACAGTTATCACACATTTTATTCTTTGTAATTTATTTTCACTTTGGTCCATTACGTACTTACACCTGTTACTCCGAATGATGGAGCATAGGGCGCCGACCAGCATTCTCCAACCCACTCTGTCTTGGTCCGTTCTTACTAGTTCTATCTAATTGTTGATCATTCTTCTTATGTCTGTCTCCATTTCTCGACGTAATGTGTTCTTTGATCTCCCTTTGGCCTTGAGGATTCCATGTGAGGGCTTGCCTGGCAACACAGTTAGGTGCCTTTCTCAATGTATGTCCTATCCACTTCCAGCGCTTCTTACTTTAGTTCATTACGGAATATTTTTTGATACTTGGAAACACTTTCAATTACATTTTACATGATGCACCACTTCTTTTAAATTTCATTATGGATTTAAGTATTTTAGTTAACTATATTTATGATTGTAAATGATTTCGTCCGAAAAAATATTTTCTTCGCTAAACTGTCCTTTTTTTTTCAAATGACTCATCAGGTTTCTTTTGTTTACTGTATTAGTTTGAATTATTTAAGAGATATCAATTTTGTCTATAGAATATTATTGAACTATATTTCTAGACTGAATATTAATAACCAGGATACATAAGTTAGTTATGTATGTAATGGAGAGATTGACAAAATAAGATAAATGATTGGTCGAAGTTTATTGTATTTTCGTTTAGTCAATAAATACATGAATTCTTGAAAAATGACATAATTCCAATCTCTTGGCTACTCAATTTTTTATAGATAATGCAAATGTCTAAATGAGATTTAACATTGTTTTGAAAATATATTCACATAAATTAACAGAGTTACCATGTGTATTATTTCTATGTATATTCATAAACACTGTAAGAAGTTGAATGCCTTATGAAAGTAGGTTTATTTTAAAGAAAAGATATTTTCACTTTCAAGATAAATAAAGTTTACTCTTGTTACTTTAAAACATGTTTACTGCATCATACTGACCCAATGAAAAAAAAATTCTGAAAAGGGGTTTTTGTGGATGTTATAGTCATTTCAATGGTTAAGTTCATGAGTCAATTGATGCTAGGCCACCATGGAAAATCTAGAGGCACTGAACGGCCGTTTCGTCCTATTGTGGGACTTGTCAGTAGTACATTCTGTTTGGTCTTTAAAACAAAAGCGAATTGAGGAAACATAGAAAGTCAAGAATTTCTAAACAATTGAATCATTTTACTGTTCATATTTTATTCCAAAAGTAGAACAAACGTCTGTCGTTTGCTTTAAGTTTCAAGATATATTTTTTCATGTGATGTTTATCTTTGACATATTCCCTATAAAATACTAACCAGCATAAACGGTTTCTAATTGTTTTAAGTCTTTTTCACCTGACATAGACTTATGATAAAGATAGTTTTTCTTTTTGAATTGAGCAATTTAAAGCTACTACGGCAAAAGTAGTTTTCTATATTGATTTTTAAATGGTTTATGAACAATTATTTGGTAATCCAATGAGATTCATAATAAGAAACTAGAAGTAGGATAGTGTTTTCCACAATAAATTCCAGTTTGTTATTTTAACCACTATCTTGTGAGTTGCAAAATCTGAATGTCTGTATTTCTCGAAAGTTTCAGAACATAAAAAAAACAACTGTCTAGTACTTCTTTAACTTATTCCCGTCATATTTCAGAAAAGAGTTAATTTATACCAAGATGGTGACAAATATTACGTCATGGTACAAGATATATGAAATAATCAATTCAACAAATTCTTTATTAGCATATATTTTCCCCATTGAGAACTGTATGTTTGTGTATGGCATGTTACCATGTGCTTACAGATAAACATATCAAGTATAGTCATTTTCACGATTTTTATTCATCATCATTGTAATAACTTTACATTAACATTCTGCCCTGTTTAATTTATTGCTGAGATTATCTTCTTCAGAAAAGTAACAAATATTAAAAGGACAAATAACCCTAGCATAGAACCATAACTACCTAGGAAAAACAAATTACAAATAATAGTCTTAAAGAAAAAAGAAATATATAGATGTTTATCTATTAGAGATATGAGCTTATTACATAATTTGCTTTTAGTAACAATAATGTACATAACTATTTTGTCATGAATAGTTTGTTTAAGATTCATTATTTCTAATTCTATTCATATAAGTAATACTGATTAATGTAAGGTCTGTTGATAATATTATATACTAGTACTGGTATGATATTAGTATTATTAGTACATTTACAGTTTGACAGATAATACCAGCTTTATCTTACATATATTTACTTTAAAAAAAGGATTATTATTGTAAACAGCTGTTGTGTTTAGATATAAATGCAAAGAAAGACAAATATTTAAATGTTTTGTATTATTTGAAGAAATTTACATTGATATAACAAGAAGTTCACAGCTGTACTTATTTGTTATCAGGGTTAAACGTTCTTTTTTAGATTATTGTTAGTCACTGATACATGATTTCATAATATAATAGTAAGTGGTTCACTATTCCCACTCATATTGTGCATATAATATGGAACAGGATGTCAACACTATTGTTGCAAAATTTCACTGAATCTGTGCGAATCTTACATTTTTATATGCTAATTATTTATGCAACTTTTATACTACATAGAATGTTTCGATCTGCATCATAGTCCGTTATTGTCCTCACAAAATAGAATATTGCAAAGAAACCTACATCGTTTAAACCATAAAAGATTATGAGGAACACTCAGTCGTGATCATCGGTCGACTTCATCCTTCCTACTAAACCACAACCCATAATCTACATCGCCTTTGATAGTTCTGCGTGCATGATCAGTCGCTTATGATAGAACTGACTAAAATACACTGTAAATCGTCCTACTGGAGTAGCACAATGACAAGGAATCAAATTAACTACAGGTCTCTATCCCCCTTACTGTTGCTGAACACAGGCCTTATAATGGTAAAAAATATCACATTAGTTATTGAGTGACATGAGGACTCATCAAATGGTAGGAGAGACTGAAACGCTATTATAACTTTTGGAATTTTCTGAACCAGATTGGTTCTGACGCTTGAACTTCGTTACTAATTAGTC